AAATTAAAATCACAAAATTAAAAAATCTTATTTCTTTTCTTAAATTTCGTTCCAAGTCAAACTCGGCCAATTTTTTTAAAACGGAGAGAGTATTAGTACAAAATATCAACAAATAAATAGACTCATAGATTGTCCTACCAATTTTCTAATATATGCATCAATAATTATTATTATTATTTGAAAACTCATTCCTTTGGTCTACTTTTTCTTTTTAGGCGATTTTTTATGATTCGAATTTAAATTATCTAATTAAGAGCGAAGAAAATCATGTGCCACATTTCTTAACGGTTAGCTATAATAATGAATTTAAGAAAGATAAAACACCAAAAATTGTATTCCTTCTGTCTCATTTTGTATTGTATCGTCTAACTTAATACTATGTTTGAGTAAAAAAAAAAAAAGAAATTCTAAAATTTGCAATCTAAAATACTTATTAGATATTTATGGTTTTTAAAAGATAAAAAAAAATCAAAAATTAAATTATTTTTAATTATAATTAAAACAATATTTTTTTAAAAAAAATATATTTAAAAATTGATACATCACAAAAAGATAAATCAAAAAAACCTAAGTGGTAAGTAACTTATTTGCGTGTCGTGTCTGAAAATCAAACAACACACAAATGAATAGGCAGAGTAGTTAGACGTCGCTTTTTGTATTTTCAAATTAGGAAAATTAATGGCTTATAATGTATGCTTCAATCAACATAGTTTCAAAAATGATTTATTAACTTTCTATATAATAAAAATATAAAAATAATTTTTATGATCAAAAATAATTTTTTTATCTCACATGCTTTCAAAAAATATCTAACAAGTCATAAGCTGGCTTGCGTTATTAAAGGAAAAAAGTAGTGTAAAGTTGCACGTTAAGCGTGATTATAGTAAATGAACAGTAATAATAAAAAAAATGACAAGTTTTATTCTAGAAAGTTTTCAATTTTATTTTTTTTGAAATTTCGAATCATGATATAAAATTTTAAATATCTAGTGATAAAATGTTCTAGAAAGTATTAGAAATTAAATTATTTTTTCCATTTCCCAATTAGAGACTTCTGGATACTCTTATCGAAGTCTTCAATTTTTTCATTTAATGTTGAAGCCAACTATATCTAGCTAGAAAAATGTACCCCCTCTTTTTCATTTTTTTATTTTTAATTTGTTATGTTTATTTTTAAAGTTATTGAAAATTTGATATTAAAAATTATTATAAGTTGTACTCTTTTCATGTTGATATGACTGGAAAAAAAATGCATTTCAAAATGTTTATCTAAACTCATATAATTTGACTCTTAAAAAATAAAACGCAATAAATAAAATTAAAGAGAACATCAAATAGTTATGTTTTTTTTATTTTAAAAAGAAATACACTATTGCAATATTTGAAATGTATGTATTCAAAAATTAACTTGAATTTGTGTCGACAAATAAACTTATTATTAAATTAATTTTTTTTTCTTAAATATTATGCAATACTTTTTTTAATATTAAGAGTAAAGTTAGAAATAAAAAGTTTATTTTTAAAAAGGCAAGACGTTGAGATGTATATCCCAATCATGTATCACTTTTATATTGTATATGTATCAAGGTATTCTCTGTGTATACATATGTGTTAGATACATGTGTTGCCTTTGAAACTTTTAAACTTGATTTCATCTTTTAATTTTGACTCTAAATCACCTATGGAGTATGGACATATGAAATCTAACAATTGTTTTAAGATATATAGGATTGTTGACAACTAATAATAATGGTTGAATCTCCAATATATCAATATTATATGGTGAGATCATACTAAATATAATTCATAACAATATGTTCATAATCTAAATTTCAAATTCATATATTTTTAGCACAAGGCTAGAACATATGATATTCACAACTTACAAGAAGAGGAAATAAAATAGTAACCTTCACATGGATGGAAAATTGGATATAAATTAGGGAAAATTTCATATTTGGCAAATTTATTAGATTAAATAACATTATATGGGTATAGTTTACCTAATTACATAATATGGGTATAGTTAAGTTATTAAAGGTGTCTTTAATTTTGTATATAATTTTTTTATTATTATTTATACAATTCTATTTTAAAAAGTTGTTTGTAACTGAAGCATTAAATATGGTAACAATAAATCAAGATAATGCCACAATTTTAGGAAAATTCAAATTCAAAAAAAAAATTCTGTTTATAATAAGTCATGTACAAATTAATTTTTGTATATACATACCTACCTATATATACAAAAAAATAAAAAATAAAGTCATTCACAGATTATTTTCTGTTTATATATATGAACTTACTTTTTTTGTATATAGTATATATCAGCACGTATTCAATGTCTTTTATTGTATATGCACATCCAATTAGATTGCAATAAATATACATATACAATCTTATTGAATAAATATATACATGTACAAAAATGCATTTTACGAATTTGTATAACAAGAGATATATGTTATTCAGGTTTTTAATTGTATATAGTATATACTAACACTTATTCAATGTTTTTATTAATTGTATATACATATTCAATACATTATATTCGATAATTTATATATAACTACTACAATATACAAAATTATAATCACATATGATATTTTCCCATCTATATACAATCCCTACTACCAGCTATTAAAACAGACATGAACATATCAATTTTTGTATATGTATGTAAACTTAATATATACTAACTTCAAAAATTTGTATATAACTAATAGAATATACAAATTCTAATCATATATTCAAATTTTCCATTTGTATAACTAAGTCCAATTACTATTTTGTATATATATACAAAAACAAAAAATAACATAAACATGCAATATACTATATACAATTACTCACATGGAATATACTATATACAATACTTAATTTAATGGTTTTTGTATATTGACAACTAATTAACAAAAAAATTGTATCTAAGTTTGTGTTTTAAGACACTACCTCATGATTATGAAGTTCTTCAGATCCGACTTCACAATCATTTTTCTCTGATTCAAATAGTACAACTTTCCTCTTTCTTGTACCTTGTACAATTTTAATGCCTCTAACTTTGACATTTTTAATAATTTGTTGAACTGCCATAGGGTCGTTTTTTTTCTTTGATCTCAGCTCTTCCATGGTTTGTTCTTGTATAAGTTGTTTTGATTTTCCCAAGGACCCTACATTAACCCCAAATTCTTGAGTTAGATTGTGTATAATTACATACAAAATTAGATTGTGAATAGGAGAGAGAAAATTAGATTGTGTATAATTATATACAAAATTAGAAAATAAGGTTTTTATACAATTGGTTACATAATAGGTTGTGGGCCCCCATTAATTATAGCAAAATAAAATAAACTATAATTATATAATGTAAATAAATTAAACTATACCCCTAATATATAATTAGTTATGAATGTTTGCCATTTCATATAATTTTCCCTATAAATTATTGTTTTGCTTTATGTTACATTTTGATTCATACATTTAGGCCCAACTTAAATATATACATTTATATATGGGCTCATCATATAATGCAGAACTGACGAAAGAGAGAAAGAAGAGCAGATTTCAAATTTAAATTTTACGAATTCAATATTTAGCTAGATTTTTATAATTTAATTTGCTATAAGTCTAAAATAAAGCATTCAATATCAAAAGTATTTTGAATTTTTCTTTGTGTCATTTTCACATATAATCTTATATTATGGATAAAAATATTGAAGGCAGTCAAAATTATTGATTGTATGATATATGTACATGGGTGTAGAGGGCTACATTGTTTTTTTTTCTTAAAAAAGAAAAAAAGAAAAAAAGAAGAAGAGGGCTACATTTTTTTTAACAAAAAAGAAAAAAAGAAGAGGGCTACATTGTTTTCGATCTAATACTTTAGATTATAATTCATATTTCAAATTAGGAAAAAAGACAAATATATTATTGCAAATGATATGCTAATATCATCCGTGATACTTTTGCGATATTAGTGTAGTTATTGTCTAAAAACTAGAGCATATATAACCTATATACTAATAAACATGCACGTGTCATAATCTTATTCACCAATTCAATATGTATTAAAAATTGGATCGATAGATAAAATTGTATCATGTGTTCATATTTAGTCTTCCGTTAGAATGAAGGACATATATGCTCTAGTTTTTTAACAGCAAGAACACAAATATTCTAAAAATATAACGAAAGATATTTACATACCATTTACAACAGTTAGATATTTTTACTTTTTCCCTTTCAAATTTTAATGAGTGATCAACTATATATGTGTACATATCAAATTTAACCAATCATAGAATGTCCTAAATTTTTCTTTCTTCAATAGCTCTTAACAATATAGTAGTTTATAATTCACGAAACTTAGTAGATGTTTGAATTGGCTTAGAAGTTGGTTAAACCTATTTTTAAATTATTTTTTTATTTCTTAAAGTGTTTGATACCCCTACTTTTTATTTTTTGATTTAAACTTCATTTCAATTTGACTTTTTATTTTTAAATTAAAAACTACTTTTAAGGAAAATCAAACTGGCCATAAACTCATCAGTATTAGTTGAGAGATTTCATAACCATTTAGTCATACCTAATATTATTCAAGCAAAATAATATATGATTGGATTCAGACCATAACAATAGATGATCTTTAAAAAATGGGAAAAAAGGCAATATCGTAAATAAAATATCCTCCATTATATTGTTAAAAAATTAGAGCATATATTTCCTTTATTCTAACGGAAGACGTAATTGAGATACGTTACAGAAACTTATCTATTAATCTAATACTTAATAAATATCGGGTCGATAGATAAAATTGTAACACGTATATGTCTATTAAATATAAATGGTATATATGCTCTAATTTTATAACAGCAAAAACATCAATATCTCAAAAATATATTAAAAAATATCATTTACGATAATTTAAAATATATTTATCATTTTTTTTCTTAAAAATTACTGTGAAAAAATATCACATAAATTAAAATTGAATAAAAATTCATATGCCACATCTAAGACAATCCAGTCCTCATGAATCATGATCTAAGGCATATTAGTGGCTGTACATTTTTAACAGTCCCGTCGAATTCTTCTTCCTAAATCCCTCTGCATAAAATGTACGCCTTAGCTCGATCACGATTCCGAATTTTGAGAACTAATCGGCGTTTTTTATCCACCGTTCTTCTCCAAGACCAACATCTTCCTCCGCCTCCTCTCCCTGAACCTTCTTCCGCCGCCGCCGCCGGAGCTGAGAACAAGTCATGGAATTTTCTCAAGTACAGCCTTGTTGCTGCCCTCACCGGCGGTGCGGCTACTGCTGGTTATGCTACCTACGGTACACTGAATTTTACCGTCTTAATTTTGAATAGTATTTACTTGAATTTATTGAGGATTAATTTGAATGTGAAATTTTGAGCTTCATTGTGCTAAGCCTGAATCATCCAGATGAAAAATTAATTAACACTAACAAAGTACTCCGTCAATTTCAGCTGTGTGATCTAATAAGTTGTCTTGAGTGTGTCATTTATGCAATGCTTTTTTTTAAGACATTTGTAGAGTGATAATGTTAATTTGGATGGCCCAAGGGGATTGATGAATTTTGTTGAACTTGCGTGTGTTATTTTGTTGATAAGACAAAACCCATAAGTTGAAGGTGCAACACATTAGCACTTTGACACATACACTAAAGCGTCAATTAAGCAACGCGAAGTGCACAACTGTACTTCGCCGACAAGGGAAACTCGCAGAGGCTTATCATTAATTATAGTTATTTTCTTGTTATATATTTTATTTTATTTTTTGATGACAAGGGAAACCCGCAGACGCTATCCTTGGGGTGCACCCAAGATAAAAAAACACACTCCTATGCAATAGCTCGCAAACCACACAGAAGAGGTAACCCGCAGTAGACAAGCCTGGTGCGAACTGCGATGAGCTCGACACAAAAGGCAAACCCCTATTTTCGTTGGCAGGGGTTTCGAAATTGAAACCTCCAACATGGAAGTCCCAAGCTCAAATCACTGGGCCACCCCGAAGAGTAAAAATAAAATGTTCTTAATGAGACTTGAACCCTAATGGGTGTGCCAAATCAATAGTAAACAACTATTGCTGAACAAAGGGAGTAATATTTCGCTTGATTCTTTGGAGTTGTGGGTCTTTAAAAAATAGTTGTGATTCTATGTGCATCCTACCTTCCCCAGATCCCTCATGCTAATGGGTAAACACACTTTTTTTTAATCGGTAATGGGTGCAGACTCATAAGTGAAGTCTAAGAACTCTAAGTCTGTCCCAAGGGTACTATTACAAGAAATTCATTATTATGGGCTTGTTTTGAAGTTTAAGTTCCTGTAATTGCTATTAGGTAGACTTTTGCTTTCATAGTAGCTTATTACGTTGTTAGTTAGGATGTCCTATTGCAGGCTCGGATCGTGTTGTTCATAATCAATTTTATATGATGATATGGAATAGACTTTGTGAAAAACTGCAAAGAGGTCAAGGGACTGATAGGTTGTCCTTTGTCATCAATATTCTGTTGGTATTATGTGCATATTGTTTCATGTACGCTGACATGTCCTTGATCTACAGCATATTCATTGAACGAAGTTGAGGAGAGGACCAAGGCTTTGCGTACATCTGCAAACTATACTGTTGGTGATAGTGCATCTGGTTTGGATGTAAGTCTGGATCTACTCTAAAGTGTTACATTCTATGTGTTTGTGTTATCCTAAGCCATTAAACTGATGACCAAGTAGTTGTTTATTTGCATCATAAGAGTAATGCACTATTAAAATCTAAAAGGAAAGATCGAAAAAATTGTATGCATATAGGCGGCATTTAGCTTGATTTAGTGGTGGATAGATTTATGCTAACCATAGCTTCAACGATCTTCTTTAAATAAATTATATAATGTCTTTCTTTTAGGTTGTTTCGAAACATTAAAGAATGTTTCTTTCTTTTTTGTTACTTTTTAAATTTAACTTTCACATGACATGTTTAAGATCATAAGATTAAAAAATGTTTTGGTATGTTATATATATATATATATATATATATATCAAAAAAACCATAGAAAATAAAACTTTATCATTAAAAAGAATAAATACTTTTGGATTTCAAAAATAAAAATAAGAAGTAGAAGTTAGGCCTCCAATTTATTTTTGGCTTTAGGCCACTAATTAGCTTGAGCGGCCATTGCTATTCATATAGTGATTTCGGTCCTACCAATACGGATCTATAAGTAATATATTATTTGTAATCCATTCATTAGATGCTTTCATTTGATTTTCTTTAATATGGTTAAATGACCTACTTAAATCAATTGTTAGAGTACTGATTTCATATGACAGGGTTCATCGGTTCAAATACAATGGTAGATAAAACAAGTTTATTTTGATTATTTTGATTCAAAAATTCTATTTGGTTTAACATTTTTTAAAAAGAATTTCTTGATATTTAGTTACCTATTCTTTTTTGCAGAAATTTCAAGCTTTGTTATACTCCTCTGCAATGACAGGTCTGTTCTGATTTTGAGTTCTCTGCATCCAAGAACATGAAATTATGCTTGCTACATTGTCAGTTGTGTGCAATATATAGATGTAATACTAATACACATTGGTGTATTCAATTTATTTTTAGACCATGTTGCTTTTAAGCCTTGTTCTTGTTGCATGTCATCTCTTCCCAATTACAAATAAGATCTTTTTGATTGCTTTAGGATTATAGTGAACCATCATCAGACAAACTCCTGCCAGATTTGCATCCACTGGAGCAACATGTTTTTACCATTGTCCTCGATTTGAGTGAGACATTGGTCTACTCTGACTGGAAGGTAAATTCCTAGTCATAAACAAGATGGATTTTTCATTTATTGAACCATCACTAATATGGATTCCTGGCCTTTAAAAGCGTGAAAGAGGCTGGAGAACATTTAAAAGACCCGGGGTTGAGGATTTTCTGGAACGCTTAGCTCAATTTTTTGAGATAATTGTATACTCTGACCAACAGAACATGGTATTTTTTACTTCCTTCGTTATGTAATCTATATCTTGTAACACTTGTGCAGTTAAAATTTTGGCCAGTGATATTTGCAGTATGTCAATCCTATTGTCGATAGTTGGATTCAAAGCAGTGTATCCGGTATAGGCTATCAAGGGGAGCAACTAAATATGTGGGTGATTTTGCTCATTCTCTAAATTTTCCGTTCATTATGCTTCTACTTCAACACAAAAATCTTTCAACTCTTTTTAATTTCTTTTATCCCTCGCTTCATTTCCCACTCCTTGGAAAATGGTGATAATTAGGATTTCCATTTATCTTGGGACTTTTTTTCATTTGTTTTATGAATAATTCACCTTACCCTATGTTCTAACTCTTAAGAGACGGAATGATTAAGATTTCCGTGTTATTTGTGTCTGTTGTTACAGGATCTTTCCATGTTGAATAGGGATCATATATGTTAGTGGTAATGCATTAGAAAGTAGCCTTCAACCAGAGAACTGTGTAGAAATAAAACCATGGAAAGGAGATGTGGAAGATACCACACTTTTAGATCTTATTCCATTTCTTGAATGTAAGTATACCAATAACAAATGACGTACAAAATTTGGTCCGCACCATTGAGCTCACTTTAAATGACTCCATTTATGCATGCAGATCAGTGTTGTGGACGGCGAGAGAGAGGCGACAAGGGCCTGCCTCGCCACGCGGCGAGGCGCTTGCCTTTTTGAATAAAGGCGCCAATTAATACCAAAAATTAAAAATATTTAACTGCATATTTTATCCAAAATCTTAATAGCAATAACACATATTAGCAAATATTCAATTCAAAAACTAATAGTAGATACTAAAATGTCTAAAACTTTAAAGACCAAACAATTCAAAATACAATAAATCAAAACTTTAAAAGTCTATTCTTCTTCAAAATTATCCAACCCTTGAGTGTCATAATTCCATCCAATGTCCCTCTTTTGCTAGCAACCACCATTGATTATTAAATTCAATTAATTTGCTGTTTAGGAATATTGAAATAAATAATTAGGAAAATGGAAAGATTTTTTTTTTAATTAACTGCCTATAATTAAAAAAAGTAAATTACACAAAGCAGTAAGCAACTAAGCACTGCTTACAGCCTTGCACCAAAAAAACACAACTGAAAAAAAAAAAAAACTGAAGAAGAAGAACAGAAAAAAATTGTTGAAGAAGAAGAGAGAAAACGACATACCTGGAGAACAGAGAGTCGCGAGGGAAAAGAATCGTGAGCCGGCGGCCTGCGAGGGAGAAGGAGAACAGAATCCGACAGCGAGGGAGAACTGGAGAGAGGCTCGCGAGGGAGAAGAGACAGCGATGGAGAAGAGAAGAGAACTGGAGAAGAGAGTCAATCGAGAGAGAGAGTCGCGATGGAGTTTCAGAAATTTCAGAAGTAAAAAAAAAAACCCTAATTTTGACTAATATTATTAAGTCAAATATTTTTAATTAAAAAGGCAGCGCCTTTTCTGTCGCCATTGTAGTGCCACACCTCGCCACTCCTCGCCTTTTTGCTATCGCCTCGCCTCTCGCCAAAGGCGATGAGGCGCTCGCCTTTTGTAACACTGATGCAGATGTTGGAAAACATAGGCCAGCTGATATTCGAGTTGTATTAGCTTGATACCAAGGATGTGATATTGCAAAGGAGTTTATTGAACGATCGGAGGAGCACCACAGGTAAAGTTCAAAGTTCATTCTTGATTCTTAATTAGATATTGTTGTGCTTATTCAATTGTATTTGAAATCCTTCAAGACGTGGAACTTAAATAATGCTTCTTATTAAAGTTTCTTCGAACTTATCATCTGTTGATATAGGCGTATGCAAGAGCAGAAGCAGACTGGTCGCTTATGGCGTTGCTAGTGTTGATTTTTGGAAGTTTCGAGTTTAAAAAGAATAGAAGTAATTATCATTGTAATAAATTATATGTAACTAACAACATGATTGTATTCTTTTTTTCACCAGCAATAAATTCACATCATTTGCTCCTTGCATGAAAATAACATCAAAATTTTGCCAAACGGCAACTTCAGTTAACTTAATGTTTTTGCTCTGTCTTAATATTACATGATTTTATGATATTTTCTTATAATTTATATGATAAAAAAATATTATTATTAATTTTTGTGTTCTATATTCATCAATTTGGATCACCAAAACTACAGTTTTTATGTTTTCTCCTATTAGATGAGAGGCAGAGGTTAGGTTTGGGGTGGGTTAGACTGGTGGTTAAGTTGTTACTTTGTCATTATTTCAAATTCAAATTATAAATAGTTTAATAGCAGAAAGTAATAAATGGATCATCAACTACTAGTTGTTCAATTATTAATTCTATAAATTTATCAAATTTTATTTTGGGATGACAAATATATCTTTAGACTAATCATGATCGATCACGAACATGTTTTCAATCTTGTGATTCGTAATTCTTGATCCTTCTGAAGACGGAATCAACATTACTATCAAACAAGCTCATGTATTAAGACATTATCATTTTTATCGTATCATATCTATCTTCAATCTTCACGTGTCATCTTATAATACACTATCAAATCCAAATTTTAACCCATAATACAATGTGATTGGCTAAGCTTTGTGAAAATGAGAAAAATTGAAAGTCTTGGTCATCGCACTTGGTTGACTGACTGGCACTAATGATTTGTGGCCTCATCTTCAATTCTCAAGGTTAAGGTTCATACTTGAGTCTTCACGCAGCAGCAAAGCCTTTATTTGGTATCAAGTACCAACAATCATATTTTTCTTTAAATTTGTTTGAAACTTTTTGAACCTTTTCTTTTATAATCAAAAGGAGCTTTAAAAGTTAAAACAGAAAAGATAAAAGTTATTATATTTTCGTCTCAAAATAAGGATTATTTTTTTAATTTTAAAAAAAAGTTATCTTAGAATAGTTGTTATATATATGATTTAGTTGGTTTGGAGGGCAAATGGTCCAGAATCAATCTCTCTCAATCCTATATAAGTCGAGCCTAATCTAGTACGATTTATGTTTCATGTGTGACTTATATGCTATTACACAATGAAAAATTTATTTCGTGTGCATAAAAAAAAGCTTTTTAATAAAGAACTATTAATAATCTTTTTTTAGTGAACCTAAAATGAATTGAATTAAAAATGAAACTTATTTTGAGTGAACGAATAATTATACACCTTTGGTAAGTCAATTGTCACAAAGTCATAAAAAATTACAACCAATAATATTTATGGTAAGTAGTAGTACAATACATTCCATTTTTTCCTCTCATAATTCACCATTGTAGTACGTTGTTTTCTCTCTCTCATGTCTTAATCTCTTTGTCCTGCAGTACTACATCAACTTCTCCAAATATATTTCTATAAAAGTCTCCAATTTTTTTTTTCATTCCAATGATTTTCTCTAAACCCAAATGGCACGTTTACACTTGTTTCTTGTTCTTTTTCTTCTTCTCATTATCTCCGCCGCCGCACACGGCGGAGCACACGGCGGGGATCATGACGGAGATGCTGACTCAGATTCCGACTTATCTGAACAATCTGACAAACCCCATTTGAGATCTCGGCCATTGGTTTTAGTGAAGATATGGTGTTTGATAATAGTCTTCTTTGCGACTTTTATTGGTGGGGTTTCACCTTATTTCATGAAATGGAATGAGGGGTTTTTGGTTCTTGGAACACAATTTGCTGGTGGGGTTTTCTTGGGAACTGCGCTTATGCATTTTTTAAGTGATGCTAATGAGACTTTTGGGGAATTGACAAGTAAAGAATACCCTTTTGCTTATATGTTGGCATGTGCTGGTTATTTGATGACTATGTTAGCTGATTCTGTTATCTGTTTTGTTTATGCTAAGCAGAACAACAACAACAATGATGTGCAGCTCCAAGGTTTGTTGCTTACTATGTGTTGTTTTAGAATTTTGATTGATAAAGATAAAAATCTGAACTTTATACTTTCTGTGCAGCTTTGCTGTATCTGAATTGTAGTTTTGGTAAGAGGAATTAGTTCTGATTTAGTTTTGATATGTAATTCAGCTCGAATGAAGTTAAAGGAAGGCAAAGATGAGAACTTTGAATTATTAGAAAAGAGTAGTAGGCATAATATTACGATAGTCTTGTCCGCTAGCAAATCAATGTTGTAGTAGCTAGCGAAGTTTGTCAAACATATTGGCGTGGACAAGTACTCGAATTTAATCATATTTGTGTTTGGAGTGGTTTTATAGTTCCATTTGCTGTTTGATAGGATATGTTGTTTGTTTGATGCTGAAATATTGAAGAAAGTAAAAAAATTATGTGCTAAACTTTCTTGCTTTTCTAGTTTATTGGAGCTTTTCTTAAAATCTGATACTTTTGTTTCTGAAGCATCTTGCACCTAATTTTGAGTTTGACTGTAGAACTTTTTACTAGCTTCCAAGTTATGTCTAATCTGAGTAGTAGGAGAGTTCCATGGTCGATGATGTTTAAGGCAATGCGAAGTTGAGTTCTGTTTTAGCTTGAGATCAACTGGAAATTTTGTTGATTTCTTTTAGCTTCCCATATCAAGGGAGTTTACTAGAAAAGTGGTTATCTTTTCGAACCATTGTGCTGATTATCCATTTTGCGATAGGGTTTTAAATTATATCCATTGACAATGTGACAAAACGTACTTTTTGATTTACAAACTTCACTTATTAAGGGTAGTAACCTGTAATTACCTTTTAATTGCCTTGATCGTCTAAATTCCTTTGACGCTGTTGTATAGTAGTTAACTTCTTTGGAATATAACACTCTTTGCTGATTCTTCAAATCCATTGTTGTGTTCTAATAGATACTGAAAATGGAAAAAGCAATGGAGCAGTCGCACAGGGGCAGTCACAGGTTAGAGAAGATGTTTTTTTTTTTTAATCTTTTTCCCTCTGATAACTGTCTTGTGTGCTCGGATTCCTTTTATTCTTTAAATCTAATTGGTAGAGAAAAATCCGTTCTTGTTTGAGTGGCTTAATTAGATTTGTCTCGATTACTTTCTCAGGTCTCTGATGGCAGAGAAAATGACTATTCAAAAGCACCTCTTGCAACAGCTTCTTCACTTGGTGATAGCATCTTATTGATCGTTGCACTATGTTTCCATTCCGTCTTTGAGGGAATAGCCATTGGTGTTGCAGATTCACAAGCCGATGCTTGGAGAGCTCTTTGGACTGTAAGTTTACACAAGATATTTGCTGCTATTGCAATGGGAATAGCTCTACTTAGGATGATCCCAAATCGCCCTTTACTATCATGCGCGGCCTATGCTTTTGCCTTTGCCATCTCTAGTCCAATTGGCGTTGCCATCGGAATCATAATCGATGCCACAACTCAAGGGGTTGTTGCAGACTGGATCTTTGCAATATCAATGGGATTGGCTTGTGGGGTTTTTATATTTGTATCCATTAATCATTTGCTTTCTAAGGGATACAAGCCTCAAAAAATGGTCAAGATTGACAAGCCTCATTTCAAGTTTTTGGCTGTTTTGTTAGGTGTTGGGATAATTGCTGTGGTGATGATATGGGACACTTGAGTTTGTGCTTTGATGATTATTTTGGCAGAAGTAGCATAATAGTTTACCATTTTATATTGAGAATACTTTTGTTTAAAAATATTTATATACGAGAGTGAAAAGTTGTGATTCTTATTCAAATGAAATTTTTTTCAAGAATATCAAAGTTTTTTATGCATCATTGCTCAAATTTAGTTTCGAAATAGTAAAGATCATCTTTTACATATTGCAAGCAAGAGTACTGCATGATAAGGTCGTGTACAATAGATTCATGTGATTTGATTATTTTAAAATTTTTGCATACAACGAAAGCTTACTCCATTGAACTGTGCGATTTCGGTAATAAAATATGGAGCAGTAAGGTAAATGTAGATTTCTTTGACATGTTTATAAAAAAAAAAAAAAAAAATCAATTGTTCTCTTTCTTTTCTCACTTTTAGACAATGAAAACATTAAAACTTTCTTAGATACCATTTGCAAAGCACCTTTGTCAGAGACTAGCTACTTTTCAACCGATATAGTTAGGTCGCAGTCCTATCAGGGGGCCGTATACACGTTTGCAACCTTTTCGTCGGCGATAACGAGTTCAATTAATGTCTTAACATAATGAATGAACCATCTACTTTACTCATCTATAAAAGTAAATGACTTGGTAAGTGTTTGGACAGTATTTGGTTGAAGTTGCAAATTGCATTCAAATATTTCACCAATATTTGCCTTGATACTGCTAAAATATAGTTGGTCACATGTATTTTTAAATATATCACAAAGAATAGTATATTTAGTATGATGATATAATAAATTTAATTTGAGAAGTATTTATGAATATTGACTTTTCGATGTTTTACTGGACCTACTCCATTATTTATGACCAAGCGCGTTGAGATCATATAATATTATCAATAATATAAATGAAAAATAGTGTAACACATAAAAAATAAATATTTTTTTGTATTCAATATTTACATCAAACTGAAAATAATTCAAGATTAAAACACGATGTATTCAACTTTTATGTTCTATCTATCGAATGTATTACATTTATATAATTATTAATTTATAACTTTGTATTTTTCTGCGTTAAAAATACTAGCTTAATTGAACCTCTTTAGTTTATACTATGTAACACCAAACATAAAATTATCAAATTTATTATGGTTAAATTGGTACAAATGATGGAATAAGTTATTCCAAACATGACAACCAAATAATATAAAAAATTTTATCTGATCACTATTTTCTTATCCCATCACTATTATTTTTAATCCCTCACATCAAACGACCCCTAAACATGCTCTTTAACTTGGTCTTATTTCATATTTATGCCCTTCAACTTTGAGTGTATATAAATCGACAA